TATGGTATAAGGAAACAAATTATCTCTAAATGTTGCAAAAACCGCAGGATGATATTAGAGGCGAGTTAAATTGATAAAATTAGGTTTACCTGACTTAGTAAAACCAAAATTTAAAACTGAGAACGATGAAATTAAAATGGGTGAAAACACCAAGTTCCTTGGAGTTCAGTAGATTAGCAATTAAAATAGTCGTCCCAACTAACCTAAACGATAAATAAGATTTCAAAGGGTATTTGCATAATACGGTACTCTAAAAGATTTGTGCCTGCATCCACGTTGAACTGATGTGTAACAGCTCTGTAGTGCCCTACCTTAGATAATGCTGCCTTGTTTGGGTAATGTGGTTGAAACCTCTCTCGACAAACCTTCAAAAATTACATAACCATGCAGCCAGAACAGTTACAGGATGACGATATGATCAATCAGCCTTGCCAATCATTCGTGCTCTTGGATGGCCCACAGTCAGGGAGTTACTTGATCTTGAAACACTCAAGATGGTTTTCAAATCCCTAAATGGTGAGGTACCGTCCTATAATGAGTGACATGTTTACTAGGGTTAACGAAACAACCTCTGCGTATTGTGGAATTCTAATATAAACTTAAGAACTCCAAAGTTAAGGACATCAGCTGGTCAGAGATATTTCTCATTCAGAGAGCGAGTCTCTGGAACGGGTTAAACACTACAGCAAAAAGTCAACCAACCCTAAGGAAATTTAAGGAAGATCTAATAAATTCAGCACTGTACGAGTCACAATAGTATTTTTTAAATATTAATTTTTGCTTTAATCTTGTTTCTTTAGTTTCTTATTATTATACTGTATTTATAATATTAATTTCTACTTAGAAGCTTTTTAAATGCATGGCCCCTCCCTGTTAATCAGTTTTCTCTCTAACTGAGGGCTACCATGCCTGAAAAATTGAAAATGAAATGAAATATGAAATGAAATGAAATGAAATGAAATGAAATGAAATGAAATGAAAATGAAATGAAATGAAATGAAATGAAATGAAATGAAATGAAATGAAATGAAATGAAGCTGTAGGAGAGACTTTTCCGATAATTTGAAAGGAGATGGCGAACCAGATTTGTATCACTGTAATGCATCGTCTGAAGCATATTCATGTAATACTAATTACCATTTTAGTTTACACATGCTTTTAAAAGCTGGACGGTCCGGGCCCTATCTGGTCCGGTCCGGATTAATACTAGATACATTTTTACACAGCTTTAAAAAGGTAGAAGGTCCCAGGGGCGTCGAGAGGGGGTTAGGAAGGACAAAAGGTCCGGGGCCCGTGCTCCAATGGGGCCCGTAATAATGTAATAAGATCGAGTACAGGTTTATCGCAGAGAAATGTTCAAATGTCCTTGATTCATGTAAAGTGTTTTTGCACATTTTGTAGAAACTTTTAAAAAAATTTTCAATATTTGTTACTAAAAAGGGCATTTTCCTAGTTTTTCGGGAGACTGAGGGGGCTTACTGGATCTCAACGGCCCTGGAGAGTCTGGACCCCCTTTCTCCCCAGCCAAGACTTCAGTGCATCCATATTCGCAGAATTTCAGTTGACGAGACCTTCGCTGTGTAATACTGGTGCCCTATCTAGCTTCCATGTCATCAATTGTGATTGAATGCTATAGCATGCTTTCTTTAAATGGCTTTGAATCGGCTTTGAAATGCGGCCTATCCATAAACATACCAACATTAGACTACCTGAATAGCAATAACTTCATTCCTTATTCATAACTTATCCACATGTTGCAAAAATGATTAGTGATGAAAACACGTATTCTTGAACAAAAACATTTGCTGAACTCCATGGATGTTTATAAATGTATCATCACATTTATTAATACCCTAAATGATGGCCCCATTCCCTACTAAGAGCTAAGTGCCCCTTTGTTGAAACTGTTTATTGAAATTAAGATAAGGAGTCATTTCTGTTTACTGCTAGTTTTTAAAGTCTTGTGTATGTTTCAAAACACTTGTTTCTTTAATCTTATATAATTTTCCAATTCTTAAGAATGTTAGAAAAAACATTGCGCTGCCTCAGCTTGCATATTTAAAACATTTAGATGTTATTTAAGAAAATGCAAGTATTGAAATAATTATTTTTTGTTAAAGTGCTTGGATTTTTGTAATAGCAAAATTTTTCCTAATTTGTCCTGAAAATATATTGGAATTGAAGGAATAAAAAAGTTTACAAAACATTCGGGACAAAAATTACTCTAGATTACACTCTTTTGGAAAGAACGTATTATCTGCTTATAAAGATGCAAGGATGCATGATGTAGCATGTTAGATGCAAGGGACGCTGGAAGAGCCTGGATGCAATGATACAAATCAGGATAGGTTTGCACCTTCTTTCGATTCTTTTAAGCTTTTTCAGATCAACAAGAACATTGGATTGAAAAGACACATCAATCAATAAGCCGTAGCCATATCAATTTCCTTGATAATTTCGAAGGCCAATGTCAAAGAAACTGCCATCCAAAAGTACCTTCGACCTCATCTGTCCCTCCTATGAATGGCCAAGGTAGGCGCTTGCCCAACTTGCCCCTCTTCGCATCCCTTGTCTGGCAGCCCTGTTAGATGCTTTTTAGTGTAAGTAGGTCTGAGGGATGTTTATAAAAGCGATTCAATTAAGTTGTTGTTGTTTTGTATAGCAACTTTCTGTCAGGTTTGTGTAATATTCGTGCACTCTTATGGTTGTTTTTCAGCTTGCCATGAAACGCAAAATTTATTTCATACAGACTCTGGCTCTGTATGTTATATCATTTGGTCTTTTCGACAAGGAACATAGCTTGCGTGGTGCTACCTACTGGCATCTACGTGAACAGAATGGAGTGATGCAAGTTGTCCCCGGAGAAGCGAAGAGGGAGCTTTTCGAATCTGATCCATTTTTTAGCCTGCTCATAAAAGCAAATCCTCCTAAAATCCAGTACAGTTTGTTGAATCAGTCTAAGAATTATCATGTTGCAGTGGCTGGCGTTCGGTATGTTTCATTATTTGAATATTATTTGTAATTTTCTCATTGTGGTCAGTAAATTTCACCGGCAAAGCAACCTTTTCTACTAGGCCCCCAGATATCTCGAATTACCCTCAATACACCTTGATTAATTACATAAACACTGCTCTTTCTTACACTATTTGTTTGCCAGTGTAATCCCTGATAAGAGATACATATATTTATTTCGAATTGAAGAGCTGTTTTGGGTTTCAAGCCCAGCAGGTACAATCAACGTTAGCTCAATTCCTTAACTCGTGAACAAATTTTCGATAGTTGTAACACATATGTTAATTTTAATGCTAATTTTATGAGCAAACTAAGTTGGTTAGCATTGAAAGGTAATGGTTAGTAGCCAAATAATTTTATCTGTCTCAAAGAAATTTGTTCTATTGCCCCAAGTTATTGTATGTTATATTTCTCCATAACGACACGAGCTCTGGTATTCTTCTTAAATTTAAGTGTCCAGTGTCCATAACGACCTGAATGTCAACATTCTCAGATTATTCCCCTTCCAAATACTAACTTTTTTGTAATTTTCTAAAAAATACACTTTTTTGATTTAAAATCCTTTATCCTGGTGGTATTTTTTTTAAATTGTTGGTAATGTGCATTGAATTTGAAATTGGTGTTGCACCTTGCCCAGATTGGTCTTCTTTTAGCTGAGAAGATAAAAGGTAAAATGACCAGTAGCTGAAAAAAATTGAGCAAAGCTGTCCAAGCACATACCAAAATCTTAGACATGGCAATCTTTTTAACAGAAGCTCTTACTCTACTAAACTGGTTTCTCTTGAGTCTTAGACCAATATATCAAATGTATTTTCACCATATGATGTTCTTGCATTCAAACTTTTTTTTATATGCTGAAGACTGATAATACTAAACAGGCTTATACATAGCTATAAATCAAATCAAGAGGCATTTTATTCAATTTAAGAATTCAACTAATGTTTGATCATTTGACATTTATAAGCTAGACACATATACAGGCCTTTTCATAAGAAATAACCCTTGAGAGTGGCATATCGCTTGCATGATTTCTCTTGCATGAGCGATCGCTCTGATAGTGATAGCAATGATCTTATGAGGTACCCTTTTGTTTGAGGTAACATAACATCAAATGAAAAAAAACTGTTATGATGACCTTTAATGCATTCCAAGAAAGTATAAATACCCGCTACAAATGTGCTTCGTTTATAAACTTTATTTATATCATGAAGGTCATATACACGTTATTGCTGGATGATCACAAAATGTTATTAAGAATCTGCCGTAGATTCTGCGCACAATTTTTGTTTATCTGGCTATATTCCACCATTTAAACTTCTGACTTCTGATAACAAGAAAAACCAAAGAATACAAGGTCTCTTCAAAAGCCCTTGCTTAAAATTCTGTGCACAATTTTGCGGGAAACGTTTGTTATCCACAAATTTCAAAATCATTGTTCTGGCATTCCCCACACAGAAAAAATACTTTACAGTCTGGCTGCCCAAAAAATGTCCTAAGTGCTATCATAGTTTGAGTACTATTACTGAAAGTATTCCGAAACATTCGCTGTGGTGATTTTCAAATGCATTTTTTGTTGAGATGTGGTTTAGTCAGTTTACTTATATTTTCTGTGTTTATACCCGCTTCATATTGTCTATGTCACTTGCTTAGGTCATGACTAGGATTGTGTCTATTGATGAGATATTTATTCCTCATAATTTACCATTTTGTGCGAGCGATGAAACATTTGGTTGGGTTTGCACGAGTGTTGAAGCTATCGCGAGTGATGGCTCGCTTCAAACGAAAAGTCTGAAATATGATAGTGATTACATTCTAACTGTTAATGTGAACAATTTTTTGATGGTACAAAATTTCAAAAAGCAAATATTTTACAATATAACTGTAAATAGAAAAAAAATATGGTTATTGATAACAATGATGAAAAATATTTTTTTTTTTGATAACTTGATAGTTAAACACAACAATTGAAGGAAATATTTCTACCAAATCCTCAATTTTGATGATTTGAAATTTACAGAATAAACTCATCTGATCAAGATGCAACAGCTGTTGGCTCATACAATCCTGGTGTTCATTGCGGCCCTCCAGTCTATGAAACACCATTTGATTATCTCCCTGGAATTTCAAAGAGGAAGCAGCATCCACTTTATCCTGAACCTGAGGTTGCACTAATTTTCAAGCAAAATGAATTTGATGAGCCTAATTTAGTTGATATTGAATCAGGATTGAAGGAAGCTATGATACAGGTATGAGTTTTGTTTTCTTGTTTCAAACTTTGTTTCATTTTTAGCAAATACAACAAGGATATAGGTATTGGCTTTCAAGCTTTGTTTTGTTTGTTTCTGCCACAGTTTAGTCTCATTGTCTCATCATAACATCTGATCATAACCATAATGAATATGGACACATTTAAAGATAACATATTTAATGTACTGGCTAGCATGTATGTAGACTTTACAGATAGGAGAAACTGTAAAGTCTGTAGTTATTTCTTGTATCCATTAGTCATAGCTTTTTTAGGGAATAGTCTTTATTTTACAATCTTTTATCTTTGGCACAATGGCTTCAAATTGAACCTTCAGATAATGGTAACTTGTCTTGCATGATCAAACTGATTCAATGATTAGCATGCAAAGATATCCCAAAAGGCATACAATAAATAAGTTATGATTCATTCCCTAAAACGGTGGAAAGATATCTAATTGGCTCTAAAAACAAAAAGTTTTGAATAATGCAATAGTGTCAAAATATAAGTGGTTACAAAAAAAATCTGCACCGCATACAGACTTCTATAATCAGACTATAAGACTTCTTTTAAAAAGGGCAGTATCAGGTAGGAAATATGTGCTAGATTAAGCCTCTCCAGTAAATAATCTATTTGCAGAGATGTAAATTGTTGTTACAACCTTGTAGGATACAAAACATTTCAAACTGACAATAAGCCAATAGTAATTCTAATTTACATATCCTAAACATGACATGGTTCTCTGATTTCTTTTCTAAATTGAGAGATTTATCTGTCATATTATCAAATCTGATGTACTTCAATTTTCCTTAGATTTTGTCAGAGTATTTATGTGCCTGTCTACATGTTGTTTTTATGTATTCTTTATTAAGCCACTTTATCAGGTATCAAATGTGATACTGGATTCTTAAAGATAAAATTGCATACTGGCCATTGCCTAGATTTTTTTAGGATTTTTTTTCATGTCAACAACCAAATGAAAAATGGAAACAATGTTAGTTTATCACGTTGGGTTACAGAACTCATTCCATTCTACACTTTACATTTGCAAAGTACTGAACTATTGGCCACAGAATGACAGCATTGCTTCCAAATATTTTTAGCTGACCAAAATTCAAATAGCTATTATAGCAATAGCAATTTGAATAAGTGTTTTAAGATGACTGTTTGGATGGAAAATAATAGAAATTTTTTTCAAGGTATAGTCATGAAAATGAAAAGTAAGAAAATAAGCTTGTTTTTTTTTATTTTCAAGCCATGCCATGTCAACCATTTTTTTTATTTTCAAGCCATGTCAACCATTGTGAAAACACAAAAGCAAGCAATAATGATAGGAGTACATTCAAAATATTAGCAATAAAAAATGTTTTTCTCTGCACAAGCCTGTAAGATTTCATTATGACCAACTCAGAGATACTCACTTCCTGCTTGAGTGCCCAAAACTGATAATTTTTTTCTGTCTGATAACCTGCCGCAAAAGTTTTTTATTAAATTTAGCAAGTCGTACAATGTTTTGATTTTTTATATTTCAGGGTGAAAACAAAGTTGTGTTGTTTAACCAAGTTGGCAATTTTTTGCGAATCAAAGGTGATACATACCACTCCATTGAATGCTTTAGAAGTGCCTTGGCCATAGCACCAAACAATGCTGATGTTTTGCTTAATCTTGCTCGTGTTTTGCACAACCTTAAATATCTAGATGATGCAATTACACTGACTCAGAGGTCTTTGGACTTACAACCAGCTGATCACAATTCGTGGCTGCAACATTTCACAATGGGTGAAATCTTGAAAAGCCGTGGTGATATTGAAGAAGCAAAGGTGCATTTTCGTAATGCGCTAGATTTAAATCCATCCTTCATACCAGCAGAACTCCACCTTCGTGATCTTGGCTATGTTCATGGAACACTTAATACAAACATGTACTCTTTGCTTTTAATTTTTCTACTTCTATCATCAATTTTCCCGTTTGTTTATTTCACAGTAGTTGGTGATGATGATTCTTCGAAGCCTAAAAGGCGAATCAAATCCTGACTGCATGTTTAGCTGCACTTAAGTTATTATGTAGTGCTTGTATATCTCCATTTTTATCACTTGTATTTTTGCATTAAGCCAGTCATTTATTTACAAACTGAAACTGGACAGTACAGACACTGTAAAATAATGAGAACATTCATTCTGCCATTCTTCAGTTAACAGAATTAGTCCCAGCTGATTTCTTCTGATTTTATATATGCAAGATCTCTATTGAGCTTGTCAATATTGATAATACTGGCAAACTTCTTTAAAAATATTTGAGATTATTCAAAGTAATGCAAATCACAAATATCTCTCATATGGAAACACAAAGTTCCCTGTTCAAATATTTGCAACAATCCTTTAAGATTCCTGTTTTAACTGATAACGTTAATTTAGCACATTGTTTGTCTGTGTTTCCAAGATTTTAATTACTATTGCTGTTGATATATTGCAAGTTTTTTAGCTATTTATGTCTATTTGGCTTTTTTCAACACTTTTTATGTGGTGACATGTGCTGGTGCCCATGCCCTTTGCTTTGCTTGTTGGCTTTTTAGCTATCAAATCCATGTCAAGCTTTATTTCATCGTAAATAAGAAAGCTTTGTTCAACAGTGTTAAAACTACCTTTCTCCTTGTTATGACTTGGTTTTAAGCCTTTGTCACAGTAAAAATAGTATTGCATTTTAAAGCATTGTTGATGGATTTTATGGAAAACATATTGAGTCTTGATTGCTTGATAACTTTGTTTGAAAATGAAGGAGGAACGGCTATCACACCTTCTTGTTTTTTCCAGAGGGTTCACAAGTTACACAAGTAGAGTTTTCATCATATAAATCAGCAAAATAATGCAATTTCGCACTCTCAATGTTGTAAGGCAGTGTACTTTATTAAGAGCTGGTGTTTCGAATAACGATACAACAACAAAAAAACTCAGATTAAACTTGCAATGACAACCCTTTTAAAGTCCATTAAATTAGAATGCGGCCAAGGTAATGAAAATAACAGTTGTTTCTTAATTCTTTTAGAATATATTCCAAATTTACAACATAAGTGGCACATAATCTACAGCTGTATTCACGATCTCCAAGCTCATCAAATCTCTTAGGGACGAGAATGTAATTGCTATAATTAGTTGTGTACAAAATTCTTGGCATGCATTTTTCAACTTTCAGAGTAGAACTATAAAGCAAAAATATTCTGGATTTGAACCAAGATTTGTATCTCCGCAACTTGGTTTGACTTCATACTGGCTGATATTGGAAATGTCGCGATACTTGGCGCTATTTGTCACATAAATATGACAATTATTCAGGGGTCTTGTCACCTTAAAGTAGGAATCATCTATAAAAAATGAAACCCACTCACTCATCGATAGTTTGTTATGTGGAGTAGCGGAGATTTTTAAAAGAAGGCAGAGATAGAGGAACTTTTCATGTAGCCAGTATTCTACCTGGAGTTCTGATATATGCCATTGTGGATATCTTGTTTGTAAGTACAATACTTTTGCAATATATTTGCAAGAAAAACTTTTCAATCATAGCTCTTGTAAGAACTTTTTTATTAAAATTCTAAAAAGCTGGATTTCAAGAAATAATACAAGCAGGAAAGCTTTAACATCAAATTTGAAAGGGAATGGCAGTCATTAAAGTAAGAGTGAGAAATTTTCCACAAGACAGAATTTTTGCCTTGTAGTTGGGGAAAAGGTTACACCAAGTAGGAGTGCAAACCAGTTGTACTCGTGGAAGAGGTGGCAGCCAAAAACTCTCTCTTTCAAACCGTTTTGCCTCGAATTTCTATGTTTATTTGTATGACATCAAACTAAAAGGTAAATATTAGAAAGAATTTTACAACATGGTATCGAGTTTTGTATGCGTGACATCCGCAAAACCTGAAGCCTCTCAACAAGTTTTAGGCAAGGAAGACCAACTTTAAAAGAAAATGAGACAAGGCAAAGAAACCCCACCTCTGAAACAGTTTAGACGCCCCAACTACAATACCACAGTGCTTTCCAGAGTACTGAATGTAAATTACGAGTGACCACAGCGTCAACTTGTGCGTGCTGTACCGACTCACAGCAATAGCCGTACAATTGCTTAATTATTAATCTCAGTTTTCTGCAAATCATCATGGTTAACAGTACTTTAATACAGCATACCTGTCGCTTTCATCAGATTATCATTATAATATTAAGTCCTGTAGAAAGCTGGTCTTTATGATGAAGTCTATCTCAGTTCTTTCAATACGGAAGCGCGATAATACATGTATTGCTGTGTCCCCCTTTTTATGGCATATTCAGATCTTCACCAATATTTTGATTTTTTTATTCAAAATGTTTTAATTTTAGACGTGTAGAAAAATACTCTAGAATCTCCATGCAGAAAATAAAACAAACCAACCAATTTTGAGTCTAGTTTTGGCCCGTAAACACGAAATTGTGTTTCCTTTTTTGCTCTTGCTAAGATCGCCGTCAATTCTAACAGAAAATTAACTGGCGTCTTCCTTTCATACATACTTTGAGACTTCTGCAGTAAGCAAGGATTTACCTATTTGGAGACATCCCCATGTTGTATATGCTTTTTTCCGTAATCTTTTCATAATCTTCCAATCCCCCTTTCCTTTTTGGCCACAGACTCTTTTCTTAGTCTTTCTGTTCTTCTATTTCCATCATACATTTTATCATCCTCTCGATCCTTCTTCACTTTTTAGCTCGTCCTTTTTACTTCATTCTCTCATGTTCCTCCACTCCTGATCCTTCCTCCCCACCATTTACCTTCGACTCACCTCTTTCTTCTTCCCCATTTTCTCACAACTCTTCTTCTTTAGGCGTTTTCTTCATTTTCTAGCTTTTACTCTTTACTTATTTTTCCCATCATTCTTTTCCCTGATTCATCCTCTCTACTATTTTCCTTCGACTCACTTTATTCTCCTTCCTCTTCTTCTCAAAACTCTTCTTCTTTTCAAGCATTCTTTTTCATTTTTAACGCTAATTCTTGATTTTCAACATTGTCATATTTACTTCCTTCCTTCTTCCTTGATCTTTTCTCACTACCATTTTCCTTCGACTCACCTTACTCTTCTTCCTCCTCTTCTCAAAGCCCTTCTTCTTTACAAGCATTTTTTTCCTCTTCTTTATACACTTATTCATTTTTCAGCTTATTTCCTTTGCTACATTTTCCCATCATTCTTCCACCCTTATGCTTCCTCTCCACCATTTTCCTTCAGCTCATCTTTTTCCTCATTTTTCACTTTTCTCACAACTCTCTTTCTTCAGCAGCATTTTATTCTTTTCCTTATGCTTCCCTTTTCTCTTACTTTTTCTAAATTCAACTTGCATATCTTCCTACTCTTCTGCTTTTCTTTTTTTAAGCATTTCTCTTTTCTCGCCCTCTTTTTACTATACGACCGCGTTATTTCATTTATCGTTTTTTCTCTTCAGTTGGCTCAAACTCCTTCTTTCCTTCCTATAAACAAATATTTCATCTTGCATTTATTTTTCTTTCTCTCTTGATTCTTCTCCTAACCCTTCTTATGTTTCTTCTATTTTCTTTTAGTACTATATTTTCATCTTCAATTCAATTTTGTCTATTTTCATCTTCTCAATTTACATTTTCGTTCTTCTCCCTATCCAGCCTTTTTTTATTCTTCTTCATAACCTTTTCTCATCTTCACGTATCCTTATTATATTTCTACCTCTTTTCCTTTCACCTTTTTCTTGCGCTTTGTTCCTCTTATTTCTTGATAGGCATAGCAACGAAATCAATGACGCCTTTGTTTTAAGTTTATATACTTCTTCTTTTTATCCTTCCCTTTGCATTAACTTTTTCTTTTCTTTTTTCTTTTCTGTTCCTCTCCTTTATCCTTTTCAACTTTTCCTATTATCCAAGTCTTCAAAAGAATCTTTTAACATTTTGTTTGGCATTATACTTTCTATGATGCTATGATTTTTCCCTTGCAATGCTGTATCATACGTCATCGTCCTTTCACGGATCAACACTATACAAAATGAAGACTTCAAACAGTTCATCATTCATTGCTATTTTAATATTCTTAGACGATCAGATGTGTTAGGGTTCCTAGTTTGGATCTTGCCGGAATATTTTTGCTTCAGAGAGATAGAACTACTCAAATGGAGCCTGATATGCGATAAATCTTGCCTTATAAGGGGGGGGGGGGGCTACAGCTTCCCAGCCCCTATGTCTTCTACGCCCATGCCTGGCATAACTGAAACATCCAATTCAATCCAGAAATTTACAGTGACCACGTGAAAAATGATTGACAGGAGCATAAAAGATTGCGAAATCGGCCATGGAAGATTAAGAAGCAATGTTGTGGCAAGAAAAGTAGTGTATTTAATCATAGCAACATACGACTAAAAAAAGTTGAAAAAACGAGATTTTGCGCTTATAACCATAATTCATCCGAGTGCGTTTTGTAATTAAGTTAGAAAACAGACGGATCCGTACGATAATCATACAGCTTTTGACAGCAGCTGTTTTTTCTAACAATAAATTCAATTCACTCGTTTTGTTTACTGTTGAAAATATTCACGGCTTAATCGCATTTTTCAACCTGCTGCAGAGAGTTACGCCTTGAGGATACTAAAAGCGAAGACAGAGTAGCAGCGTTATTTGCAAAATCTGCAAGTTTGATATTACGTGGGTGTGGTTTAGCTGCACTAACCAATAAAGCAGTGCCGAGATTATTGCAACATACAGCGTTGGATCAGTAGCTCAGGAGAGTAGGGAGGAAATCAGTCTTTGAAGGATCCTAGTGTTGATTCTAGGATCCAGTATAAGCAGAACATCATTCAAACGATTCCTAAGAAAGAGATATATTTATTCAGAAGATAGTTTCATAAAGACATTTGTTCAGAAGACGTTAATGTCAATTGGATGAAGCCTGGCTATAATCAAGGAACAACTGTGTAATTGAAACAGCCGAGAAATAAAAACATTAACAAGACTGCATTTGAAAGAGAATTCATTAAGAAAATAATCAACACGTCTCTGTACGCAAGAAGGATTAATGAACAGGTTAATTGGCAGGACTGTGTTGGAGAGGGATCGTACAAGGAAACCTATTATTGAGGCTTAGAATTACTGTGTATGCTCCCCTGAAGTATGAATACAAATGCAACAGCCAATCATAATTTTGGTAAACGCTAAACGAAAGAAAGATAAACAATTGCGAGTGCCATCTGTTGCGTTTTCTGCGTTTAATTTTTGTCTTGCTTGTGAAGAAATTTGCTATAAATAAGACACCCATCGCGTAAAGGAATTACTTATATTTACTTTGCTCTATTTACGGCTCCGTGCGGCCTTATTTACTGAAAGTGCGTATCATCCACAATGGCAGAAAAGCGGGGAGTAAAGTCACGGCTTTTTGGAGGCAAATCGGGACGAAGCGATGAAGAACGAAGAAGACAAATGGAACGAGAACAGGAAGAGAGATCAAGAGTTGACAAAAAGGCTCTGTTCAAAAGAGTCGTCAGTTCAGGTAAGTTCTATAAGCAGTTTTTGTCATTGATTGAGAGTGACGTATGCAAACAAGGAGGCTTCGAAATTTCGCTACTTTTTTGCTTTCGCTAGATTTCAAAAATTGTTAGACCTCTTTGTCTTGAGCGTTAAAATCTTTCTAACATTACTATGCGCTAGAGAGCCTTTTTTGTGATGTCTGAAAAATTTGCACAAATTTAAAGCTTTACTTTATCAATGAATAAGTCAAAACTATAATTTCATAATTTCAAAACTGAAGCGTTTTAGTTTAATACAGTTAAGAATACTGTTGGTTGATGCTTAGAAAATATTTCATTTTAACAAGAATTTTGCAAAATACAGCTGAATCTAAATCTACTTTTTTGTAATTTTAAGATACAGTGGTAGGTAATAGCTTGATTTGAAATAGTGGTTTTTTATATAGGATTGTATCTTTCTGTAACGAGAAGTTTTCATATCGCTTCTCAACATAGATTCTTGGTCTTCAAGTTCAAGTTATCGAAATTGTATCAAATTTTTTTATAAATAACAAAGGTACATAGACCTTGATGGTCCTTAACTTAATTACAATTTGTTTTGGAAATATATCTAAATAAAATTGCTTACAATAGTTACTGATCAAAATGATTTTTCCTCCAAAAGCTTAAAGGACATTTTTCCATAGCACATGTTATTCAAAATTAGAATTGTAATTAGAATTAAAAGAATAGTTTGAATATAGATTTGTTAACGTATAAACAAGAATAAGTGAAAAGAAAGATCTAAAGTTCATTTCACTATAATGAAATCCAATTTTCGCCAATAAAAGTTGACTTGAATTTTAAATTCTGCAGATTGCAAAAATTATTAGCTCTAGAAAGAATACAAACTGTTCATAGATTTTTCGGTTGCGAGATCAAATTAAGGCTCTGTTCTTATAAATGGAAGCCAAGGATCGGCCATTCAGTGAGTTAAGTTAAAGAAAAATTGCAACGACCGCAAAATTGATTTGTCATTCAGCTTGCAACGTCTACTGATAACATTTGGTTAGAATTTAATGTTACTATCCTGTACAATTAGAGTATAGCGTTGCTATGCAATGCCATAAACTAGACATGATTGCTAAATAAAGAGAGACAAAAATCTCTAAGATAAACATATGTTTATAGGAATAGCTTGAAAATGCCGTATACATAATGTACACAGAAAATGTCAAAGTTTATTTCCAAATTGTTGCCTAAAATATAATGAAGACCATATTGCAGCTGTACTTAATATGTTTAGATGTTGGAGATAACCTTACATCCATCACTCTATAGGTTTTTTCCATTATTACAATCATATGATATGATACTTAAACCTTTGAAGACTGATACGTCCAGTATCTTTTAATTGGTAAAGTTGACGAGGACGAGGTACGCATCAGTTGTCAGAGACGAGGCTTATTGAAAGAGAGACTGAAAATTTATGGCAAATCGTGTTGATTTTGGTTTACAAGCGGCCAGTGGCGAAGCTAGAGGTCATGCAGGTCATGCCAAGCATGACCAAACAATTTCCTAGAAAATAATCTTTTAATCTACGATAAAAATTCTAGATATGTTAAAAGATAGGGTTTTTCACATTCAAAATTCTCTGGCTGGCGCTAGGCTATCTGTTATAACATGTACAACCATTTGATGAGGATAGAGTTTTAGCCTGGCATCGCAGAGCGTTTAGAAAAATGGATGGAGGGCTTAAACTTAACAATAAGAGGCTTGGCTGATCGTCCATTTTTCTAGTTGGTTGTTACCTGGTCGTTATTGCAAGTGTGTGGCTATAGCCCTCTAGCGCCCCTGCTCTTCGGTGCCTTGTCTGAACAAATAGATTAGTTTAGCCAAGATCCAAATTTTGTTTTCATAAGGTTTTTTCTAAGCTTTCGGAGAAGCCTGTTTGAAAAACGAATTGTTGAATCAGGAAATTAACTTGACTATCATGATTTGCTAAAGTTGTGTTGATTTGACATGAACATTTTAGGCAATGACGACAAGGCAAAACGAGGTCGTTCGAAGTCACGAGAGGATGAAGAAAGAGAGCGAAAAAAGCAGTCTATGCTGGAGTTTGGATCAAGAGCTATTGATTCATATGAAACCCACACGGATCCGAAGAAGAGAGAGGCTGAGGCAAAACGAAGATTTGAAAAGGGTGAGACAGAAGACCGCAAAAAAGACGGTGGCAAAAAGCAAGGTAAAGTGCAAACTGCCCTCAAAGTTGGAAGATTTCTGCATAAGCATGGCAAGTAAATAAATCACATCTGTTTTCGAGCTTAGGACATTTTGAGCAATGTAAGTCAATAATTATAAGAGCCCATTACAAAAAATTTAAACAGACTATATAAAAGATGCTTTACAATGCGATTTTATTTAGCTACAATGGTTTTTTTTACTTTCATAAAATGTAGTAATATAAATATTGATTAAATAACTATAGTAGTGTTATCATGGAGTGAAGAAAGACTGAAATGAACTGAGTTATAGGTAGCGTTCTTCATTTTTTAACTAAGACCTATACTCTTATGATTTAATGTTATGAAGTAGCTTTATCTCACGACTATATCTTAGGCAATTAAGTTTATAGTATGAAATTAAAGTCAAGTGAATCAAATCAGATGATGTTTCTTTTTTAACCCTTCTCCGAACATGTATGGAGCACTTGAAAGGAATACAGATGCTAGTCAGACTGCTTGATAACAGTCCGCTGTTTTTGTTCAGAACAATTTACAAGCAAAAACCACATAATTAGTAGACTGATAATCTTGAGGTAATTGTGTTGTTAACATGTGAGAATTTTTCATGTTGGGCGCATAATTCGGCTTTCGTAAACCCGGGTACATATAACATCGCATTATTGAGACAAAATAGAAACAAGGTCATACGTGCTTAGAAAAAAACATAACACATTGCGCATGCAGTCATCAGAAAGGCATAGCATCAAATCAAGCAGATCACAGAAGGCCGAAATGATTTTAAAGAAGCGAAAACAAGGATTTTTTATTTCAAAAGAATTTCTGAAGAAGCGATAAGCCAGAAATTATTGTGTACTGTGAAAATGTTAAAACTGGTTGTAATGAAAACCGGTTGTTGTAGCTATAAATACCGTTTTAGAAAAACCATCTCCAACATGGACGATATATGTGTCAAAGTGTGGTTTGATACCGTACTTATTATCAAGCTAGACAACAAATTTTCTTCCAAGCCAGTGAAGCATCATTTGATCGAAAATGGTACGAGCATTTTATCTTATTAGGAATGTTGCTCAAATATTCTTAACAAAGCATCGAAAAAATAACCAAATTTTTTAGAAAATACGGCCTTTCAACATAATAAAAAATTGGACGCCCAGTGATTTATTCGCCCAGGTTTTTTCTTATATAGTCCTTTAGTCAAGGAGAAAGAAATAGGGAGACTGTGTGCTGTCTTGTCAATTAATGTATGGTTTATGAGATCAATGTATTCATGATCTCCCTGTCAAGGTTTTAGCAACTAAACTGCAAGAAGATAGGATAATATGGTTTATATTAAGGAAAGAACGTTCAACTTTCCAATCTTATCTTAAATAGTTATACACAATTAAGAATCAATATCTTCAAAACGATTTTGTTTCCTTCTTTGCAATGCAAAGTTTATTTTTATGTAAATTATTTACTCGCTGTTTTTTTGGGATTGTATTATTTCAAGGCGTGTCAATTGACCAATTGATTTGCAGAAGATTTTGTTCTATTGTTCCAAGCAATGTAAGTTGAATTTGTTTTATAAATATTGGTATTATGTTGGTTTTATAAATATTGGCATATTTTAGAAAACACATGGAAATAAGATTACAAGCTCTAAAAATGGTTTTTTGTAGCTCTGCATGTTAAAGAGAGACATAGAAGAATTAAGTTGAAGTGATACATTAGCTAACTACTTCAGCAAAGTAATAAGAAAGATCCTATTATGTTAAAGAAGGCAGGTTGATCAAATACTGTCAAGAAAGATAACGCTCTAGAGGGCTTTGTAGAATAAATTGAAAACAATACTAGAGAAGGAGTGTTATTAAAAGACTCTCCTAGTCTAGACATAAATGTTAACATGTCAAATTCTAAAGGAACAAGACACATGCATGCGATTTCTCCTTTCCTAACTTTAATTTAAAATGCAAGCTTTAGAGATACGAAAGCTTAGTTTTTTCTTTTGACAGCTGTTTTCTTTCAACCATTTAAGAACAAAGTCAGCTGGCTCTTTATAATTTAAAGACTTGAAATGCTCTGCAGGTAGGCTGTTTTTCTGTACTCGTTTGGTAATGAAAAGAAACAAAACATACGTCATTTCTCAGATTTGTTATGAGCTTTGTTCTCAAATCTTTAATGAAACAAAGAGTAAAGACTGCTTGTGTTTATGCCACTCGGTTTACTGAAATTGAGGCAGCTGACACCGATAGTAATTAACCAAAGAAGTAAAGTTTGGAAAAATTAATTTCGTCCTATACATAAAAATGCTGAATGTCAATGCCGCTACAATAACTTCAAATGGAGAATGTGTATAAAATGAAGAGACATAGGTGTAAAATCTAGCAGTCAACTGCAAATAACAGAGCTGTATGAAGATCTGTCATCAACCGAAGTCAAATCATAGTAGAGTCCTAGTCGATATGACTGACTGCAAGAGAGAGCGCGAGAGGGAGGTGACGTCAGAAGACAAAATTGGGAAGCTAGAGATATCATGGACAAATACCTCATTTAACAAAACACGAACAATATTTCCTCTCATTGCACAAATGAAGTTGCATTTCG